CAAATATGGCTTATCATCTGAAATATGTAAGTATTAGCAACTTTACATGGCCACTCAATCTGATGTTAACCTAGAGAAATGTGCGCTGTACAAGTGCCTGTGCGGAGAGTGGAAGCTGAACAGTAGCTCACTGCAGGACCATCTCGGTCTGTGAGCGCGAAACTCCGTGTATATCTTTGCCTTACAGACATTAAAAATATATCTATAGAGAGTGAAATGTCTACTTTCAAATGAAACAATTCAAATGGAAAACAAATTCTCAGATTATGTAATCCGTATGAAACATGCATACAGGTGCATATTCTCAGATTATGTAATCCATATGAAACATGCACACAGGCGCATCACTACTGCGGAGATGACGAGGCGGTGTCTCTGACTTCATTTCTGAAGCTGAAAACAAAGAAAGCACTAGTTTATCAAATTATTAAAATTTTAATGCATTCTCCTTACTGTTTTTCACTGAAACATTCAGAATCAATACTTCCGTTGGTGCTCTTTGGCAAGCTTTATGCATTTACTTGAAAGTTCATTGGGCTATGTAGGCAATTAAAGGCTCATTATAATGATTTAAATGGTTTATTAATAAACGTGCGATTAGTTGACTAATGCTTTTAATGAACGACTACTAGTCGACTAGAAAAATCCTTAGTCGAGGGCAGCCCTAATATACACACAGTCAGGTCCGGAAGTATTTGGACACTGACTGAGTTTTTGGGCTTTTGCCTTTAAACACCACTACAATGGATTTGAAATGAAACAATCAAGATGTGATTGAAGTCCAGCCTTTTAGCTTTATTTTAAGAGGTTCCACAAAAATATAACAGTTACCATTTAGTAGTTACAGCCATTTTAAGCAAATTACCTCCATTTTCAGGGGCTCAATAGTATTTGGACAAAGTGCCATAATTGTAAATATAAGCACAATTTTAATACTTGGATGAAAATCCTTTGCAGTCAATGACTGCCTGTAGTCTTTGCAGATTTGCTTAAATTTTTTATTAATCTTTTTATAATCTTGACAAAACACATTGTTGGAAATGTCTGACAGTCAAGGTTCCAAATATTTGGTGACTGTTTTGTAATAGAAGTGATATCGTGACAGAAATTGATTGATTTGATGCAGAAAACTGCAAAAAAAAAAAAACTTAAAAAAAAAAAAAATCAATAGAGTTGTTGAGATCAATAGAGGTGTAACGCAATGGTTATACAACTGCTATACAACTGCTTAAATTACACTAAATGAAGTTTTTATAATAATAAAGTTACAATTACATTATAATATTTGTTTTAATTAATTTTTAAAAAATATAAACATTTAAATGGTGGCTGTGGCATACTTTTGTTTGTGAAGGGAATGCGCCCCCGATCTACCTAAATGCGTTTATGTTCGCGCGAATCATTCGGGTGAGCAGCGCTTATTAGCATTTAAAGCAACATTAAACAAAACGGGTTGCTGTAAAAAGAGCTGATTTTGACAAGATAAAAAGGGTGTTTTTTACACTACCATTGAGAAATATCAACTTGTGGAAAATGGGCATCCGATGACCCCTTTAAAGTGGAGGAGATGATCAGTTCATGTGCACTACATGCTGCC